AAACATAGTATAAATAAGTCAAAAAATATAACTGTCACGTTGAATTGTGTAATAGTCGAAATTGCTATTACCCGGTGGTTTTATTAATGAAACCTCCGGCTCTTGTGTACGTTTTACTGCCCCACTTTACGACGAAGAACCAGGCAGTAAATTCCTGGGGATGTGCAAAAATCAATTCTTTAACTTGGGGGGGGGGGGGATACAACATCTTGTTATATACGTTTGCTACTCATAAAAACAATAGTTTTAAAATGTTCTATTTTTAGCATTGGATTTATTATCATCGAATATAAATTGACTACTATCATTAATTATAATGTAAATAATGTAATAATAAAGTTCAGCTTTTCAGAATTAAACAAACTATAAAAACTCTAAATTTCATGTGTTTTTTTTCCTTACCCAAAAAAGTACAATTACATGATACTATATTTAATTAGTTTTAATCAAATTGTGTAAAGAAGTTAATTTTTGGCCGTATATAGACCAACAATAACTGACTCATTGAAAAAGTCTTTCTTTTTTTTTCCCAACAATCAATTTTAGCAATAATAAACAAACACGTATCATTCTGACAGTAAAACATATTTTGGTCGAATGTCGCACTTTGCAACCCTTTAGGCAAAGGCTCAACCTTTCGAGTGATTTACAGGAGTTACTGGGTCCCCAGTGTTTCTTTCGAAGAGCACTTTTCAGCTTTCTCAAATTTATTCGAATTTATAATGAGATTTAGGCCTTTTCCCAAATTGTTACCATTGAATGTTTGCCTGCTAATGTTTGAATGAGAGTTGTGCGTGCAAGATTTCTTTCTTGTTTCAAAACTTCTTGAGGCTGCCGGAGCGGAAAAATGAAATGAAAGAAAATACAAATTGCGGGGTAATAAACTGCAATGCCCAAAAATCGCAATGTAAATAAGAAAGTTAGCTCCAAAAAAAAAAAGTGTTATTGTGTTTTTATTTCTTATTATTGTTATGCAGCATTAGTTTATCTATCATATTTGAATGGAAGAATAAAAGGATAAGGATGAGCCTATACTCATGCTGAGACTGTTGCTAGTCGGACTCCATTATTATTATTATTATTAGCTATTCAAGCCTATGGGAAATGTTTAAATTATGGAACAAAAATTCAAAATGCTAATCAAAAAACAGGAATAAATTTTATATGTAATTTAAAATGGGATTTTTGCAAACATTTGGCGTTCCAAATTAAGAATTTTAAAAGAATAAATTAAAGCTTTGTATGGCAATAGGATAAATTATTTTATGAATGAATGTTTGGAGTCAGAGCTTTATAGCACTCAGAAGGGATGTAGCTAACTAAGATAGAAGGTTTGGATGTTAGGGCGTGAAATGACCTTAGCCGTAAAAACGCCCTTAAAAATTAATAATAATAATGTGTGGTGATTAGTGACCGTTAATCGATATTTATTTAGAAATCTTTTTTTGCTGAAATGCAGACAACACAAGGCCCTGAAGATGATCTCAATAAAGATCGAAACGTTGGCACGATAAAGAAAATGTTTTTCTGAAACCAACATCACACCAGACCGCATCTCACGATTTCTNTGGTGGAACAAAGCTCAACAAAAAGTAGCTACCCAAACATTAGGCAGCTTACAATAATTAGCAAACATATATATCACAGGGGCGATGAGAAGAACCCCTACAAACGCATTAGAAACCTTGGTAAACCTACCTCCACTAGAAATATTCATACAAGGAGAGGCTAGGAAAAGCTCATTTAGGCTCCAAAAACAATTAAATTGGAAAGGAACCAAACAATTCGGTCATACAACCATAATCAATAAAATCAGACACCCATTATTAGAAATGGGGACTGACTACATGATCCCGGAAACAATCTTCACAACTTCCTATAAAGTCTCAACAGACTATAAAGGAGAGGAAGAATACAGGAGAGTATCAGATACAATGATATGGTATACGTATATCCAAAACAAACGAAGGAACCGGATCAGGCGTTTTCTGTACAAGCCCAAAACATGAGCAATCAAACTCATTAGGGAAGTATACTTCGGTCTTTCAAGCAGAAATGCATGCCATCAACGCTTGTGTCCTGGAAAATCTTAAAAGAGTTTACACTGACAAAAAAATCCTCATAAGATCAGACAGCCAAGCAGCTATTAAAGCGTTGGCATGTAAAAGAATTACATCAAAACTAGTTAGTGGATGTATCCAAAATCTCCAAAACCTGGGAAAACACAACAACCTGATGATATCTTGGGTGCCAGGGCACAGGGGAATTCTGGGTAACGAAGAAGCAGACAAACTGGCCAGAGGTGAATCTGCAAGACCATACATAGGCCCCGAACCTATCCTTGGGATAACAAAAACAAACATAGAATCCTCCATCGCAGAAAGGATCCAAACAAAACAAAGAGAGAAGTGAATAAATTCTAGCGGTGCTAGACATAGTAAACTTATGCTGAAAAAACCCTCACCAAAATTGGCAAAAACACTGCTGCAATTGGAGAGGGCAAAACTCAGAGGAGTGGTGGGACTACTAACCGGTCACTAGTATTTGAGAAAACATCTACACAACATGGGTATATACAATGATGACCCCATTTGCAGATTATGTAATGAGGAGGAGGAAACAGCCACTCATATCATCTTCGAATGCGAAGCAACAGCTCAATGGAGGATTAACCTAGCGTACGAAAAAGACACAGGGAACCAAATTGCAGCAATAACAGTCAATGACTTGATGCTTCTGAGAAGAAGGATTGAGTCTATTGACTAAACTAGGGAACTGGGAAGGTACAATAAGCCAGAAGGCTGCAGTGCCCGGGGCGCTTCCTAGTATCCTTTTCTACCATACCATACCATACCCTTGCTGTCGTACACGGTGTTCCATGTGTGATTGTAAGACCTCGTCGACTGACGAGTCTGGTGTCGTTGATTATTAGTGATGTTTGAGACCTCGTCGACTGACGAGTCTGATGTTGATTATTAGTGATGTTTGAGACCTCGTCGGGCTGACGAGTCTGATGTCGTTGATTATTAGTGATTGGTGAGAACCCATCACTAATCGTGAGGAAAAGAGTTGTACAGGCTTCTCATTCTCTTGACACGGAAGCCATAGCGCTGCGTGCGATGAATCGTTGAGGCGATCGGGGGCGTTTATATTTCAACAGGGTGGACATTTCGAAGTTGAAAAGTTTGAAGTTTGAGTTTTAAGAAATTGAAATTTGAGTTTTTAGTAAATTTTTTACCCAGATAAAACTTGTCCCAGCAAGAGTCTTGAAACGAAAAATAAACATCGTTAGTTCCTACATTCCTTTGATTTGCTATTTAACCTTTTTATTCCCGGATAGCAAACGAGTCTTGGGTAAGATCAGGTATTTGTAGGGGATTAAAAACGATACAAAATACTAAATTTATGGGATTTGGCAGGGAATTTAGTAAGCATTCAGACTTTTCTCTCTACTTTGGCTGATTTTACACTCCTCTTCAAAATATTTGCAGTAGAAGGCAAAATAAAGTTGTTTCGACCTAACGCACTAGAACAGCATTCTGGCTATTTTCAAAAAATCATATCTCCGGTTCTATTGGACCGAACTCAGTGCTCGTTTTCCAACCAAAAAATCTAGTTTCAAAGAAAAATGAGGGTTCTCATTCAAAATTAAGAATTTTAATTCGACTTATGTCGAATCGAGGTCGAAAAGAAACGCACACTGCGTTCAAGTCAAGACAGCGTCCCGACGTCCTAGTACACCGAATTGCCCATGTTCTATTATCTCACCCCGATTTTCTGTACACGTTTAGTTTGTCATCAAGCACAAGGAAAAAATAGATAAGTTTAAAAAAAATAATAAATAAAAAAGTTAGTCCTACATTAAATAAATACAGAGAACAAAAGTAAATTTTAAAAATAAATAAATGAAATTAAAAAGATGAAAATTTTAAAGCATGGGGTACCACGGCTCTTCTTGGTCCTATCTTTTCCTCAGGCATGTAAATTGTTTGGTTTACTCTAAACTGATGTTATTCCAATTTGCACAAGCTTCACCATGCAAAAGAAAAACACCTTAACTACATTCTCTCACAAGGGTTTGAGGAACACCATGGAACGGTTTAGAAGGAATTCTACGCAGGGTTGTTCTATTGTACATGAGTTTTGTGTCCTTAGCGTGTGTTGAGAACGAATGTATTTATCAGTGTGAATATGAAGGGTAAGAGTATAAGGATGCTAAGTATATGGACCCCCTGTACCCATTTTTCAAGGAAATGAGGTTGTTACATAATAAAAAAATAAATTATACATAATAATAGATAAATACATATTCTGAAAGTTTTGTGTCCCTAGTGTGTTGAAAGTGAATGTATTTATTAGCATGAATTAGTAATGTAAGAAGGCTGGTGATGTAATCACCTCATCCACCCTCAATTGGGTTGGTTATATAATAGAGGAAAATGAATTTAGCACATTATCAAACAATGTTCCTTTTCAACAAATTTTCCCGCAGCTCAGATAAATTGTAAAATATTTGGCAGAGTAATTATTTTTATACAGTGCAGCATGGTCAAATAAGTATCGTCTTAATCATGTTACAAATCTATGGAAATAGGTAGTTGTATTGTAAGTTCCCAATCTTCCTAAGTTAACTGTAAGTCTTCTTTTCAAAGGAAGATTTTTTCAGGAGATTCTTCTTCTTTTAGGAATTCTTTCTATGTTCATTTTTTCTAATTATACAGGTTGAAAAGTTGCCTTGATGATCAACATTACTTGCTATAAAAGCATCATAAAATGTCACAACGTTTCTGTTTATTATGTTTGTTATTAATTAAAATTACGTCATATAGAGACATGGGCTAAACGGAATCATAAACAACAAAAAAATATCTTATTTAAATATTTATAACCTGTATCTTACTTTTATGAGGGCATATTGAAATAAGAAAAATGCACATCAAATGTTTATTTTTTTCTATTACAAACTTTACAAAATAAATAAATATCTTAAACATTTGAAATTTCCAAATTTTGGAAAAGGGACAAATCCAGAAATAAAGAATGCATGTTAGTTATGACAGAGTAAAACTAGAGTTTACATAAAAATCTTTGGGTATAAAATGGTATTTAAATTATAACTATACATTTATCACAATAATTGTAATTAGTGTAATCAGGGTTTTATTATTCAAGGCACAATTCTCACCTTGTTGGAAACACACTTTAATAGAAAAGCAAACACACAATCAATGCCAGGCATTGAATACAATTATTGAAAATTGGCATTCTTAAGTTAATTTAAATTCACTTCTCACAACTAGACACATTCAATATTGCAGCTAAAATTTCCAACAATGTGATCAACAAACAGCCTTTAATACCTTGTTATAAAAAAAAAGGTTTTCAAAAGCCATATATTTCATTAATAATGTTATTTGAGATGATTTTACAGTCTTACATGTTTTATGAATCTGTTTTCTTATTTACCTCCAAACGTCCTTTATAAGCTTCGACTCTTTCTCAAGACTGCTGACAATTTGTGTGGCTTCTTCTAATGAAATATCTAGGGGGGAAAAAAGATATGTCATTTTTTTAATATGCAAATCTTATGATTATTACATACTTTTAACATCACTAATCGATTTGATGACCATTTCTTGTACATTCTTAGCCATGTTTAATGCATCGCCACATATGAACATACATGTTTTGTCTCGAAGGAGCAAATCCACAAACTCTTCTTTGTCATTATATATTACATCCTACAGAAAAAATAAATTGTTCCATACATTAAAGAACATATTTAATTTTAATTTGCACTATTATTATTAGTCTGTCAAATTTATGATGACACCTGAAACTATAAATCTCAAAAAGAGCATAAACTAAACTTTATCAAAGTATTGAGTAATAAAAATCTGAAGGTCAGGATTAAAATGACACCAAAAGGCATTATGACTCAGACAGTGCTAAACAAAAAATAATGACAATGGACAGAAAATTAAAATTATGAAGAAATAATTTAAAGTAATCTTCAATCTAATCAATTATAAATAATATAAACCTGTTATTATTACCTGGACATATCGTGGGGAACCGTCCTCATGGCTTTCCCTTGAAAAACATGCCGTGAACTTATTAAGTGTACCATTGTGTACGAAATGTTGAAGATTTCTTCTGGAAAGAGAAATTTCAATTTTAATTATTATTGATCATTCACCTTGTTACATTGGGGCTTGATCATTTCAGCAACAATCATTAGCATGACTGATTCTTTAATAAATATAGTTACTAGAAAAATGATAATGATCAAATAGCAAGAATGTTGAATTATAAAAGACATAAAAGAATAATAAATAACAATAAATCATAAAAAATAAAAATTTTGCAATTTTTATTTCTAAATGCAATACGAAATTTTATTTTCAAATAGTTACTCTCAACTGGTAATTATTTTATTTTATTTTCATTACCTGTAAATGTGGTCTTTGGTTTTGTATCGGCAGCCAAAATAAAGAGAAGTGATGCCTTCTGGCCGTGGTGAGATCTTTTTTTGCCTCTGTCTATGTTCAAGAAAGCCTAGAATTTAAATTTTATTAGCATGTATCAAAGCAGATGACAAAATTGTAAATATTTGACTTGCCGACAAAAGGTGCCAAACCAGTTCCTGGGCCTATCATGATAAGTGATGTGCTTGGATCCTCAGGTATTCTAAAACTGGAACTTTTCCTCAGATAAATTGGTACCTACAGACATTTGCAAAAAGAATTTTATTTTTTTCCCCCCTACAAATAATCTACTTGCAATTTTTACTCACTACAATGTGTTTAGAATGTTCAAATAGGCTAAGATCTTCCAACTGGCCTGTAATATCCAAAAAAGGATGACTTATTTTTTGTAACCAGCTCGAGCATATGCCTTTCCTTCCTCTTAAATCATTCACAACATTGAACACAATACGAATTCTGTTTTTATGCTCCAGTGGTGAAGACGCTATAGAGTATACTCTAGGCTTTAAATACAATATTATCAATTTATTGTCAATTCAAGATATGAAATAAACAAAAATATGTATACCATAAGTCTCGGTAAATGTTCTAAAATTAATGCTAATGGAGGTTTGCAGGAGGGAAACGACATAAGTAAATCAACTAAGCAGATAGAATTGTTTAAAATGTGATCGTTGTACTCCTTGGAGCCTTCTTTGCAGCAAAACTCTTCCAGTCTTCTCTTCTCTTCAGCTACATCCGTGTATTCTAACAAGGCCCTAATAAACAACTTCAAAATAGCAATTAAACACCATTTGTGAAAACATTCGCAATAAACATTTACTTTTTTTGGAATCGATCTCAAATCCAAGCAAGACTCGAACAGGTCGAACAGCGATAGTTCACGAGGTAGATGGGGAGGTAGCTTCTTACGGTTCTGCCCCTCAGCTATCGTAATCTCAACGATGGTCTCGGCCTGATCGGTTAATCCTAAGCAGTCAAGCACCTCAATGACTTCGCTCTTTGGGTTTTTGGGCATAACACCAATTGAGTCACCGGGCAGATATTGGAAATTACCACCCTAAATCAAAAAGGAAAATGCATAAATATAATTTCATTATAGACATAAATTATGTAATGATTATATAACAATTATAAAGTTTAGTTTATTAATTCATTTAATTATTAATTTATAATATATTTTAATATATATTTAATTTTAAATATATTTTATTAATATAAATTAATTGATAATTTACAGTAATTGTAAATTAATATTAATAATTTATTTGAATTAATATTAATGTATTAATTATAATAAATTTAATATTAATTTATTTACTTAATTTTTATTTAAACTTATATAATGTATAACTTATATATTGTTTTTATTTTCAATGTTTTTTTTTGTTTTCAGAAAACCACAAATTATAACAAATAAATATTAGAAAGACTATGTTTTTTTAAAAATCTATTTTATGTAATAAACATTATAAATACATAAATATAATTTTCTCATAATTTCTGATTTCATGAGCATATTTTCTGCTATAATTCTCAATTAAGTGCATGGCTTGCACCAAAGTTATTTCTTTTTGTAATCCACAGCCTAACCCAAACCCTTTTTTTAATTAATTTTCTTCCTTTTTTATAAAATGTATAGTAATTAACACAGCTTTGGTTTTCTGTCGTGATGCCATTCTGACTACTCTTGGTAGTAGACTGAATCGACAATGGACACAGTCTTGAGAATTATCGCGAGAAAATTTATGGAGAGTATCTCATGAGAAACTCTTGAGAGTAGAGGCAGCGAAATTTGACTCCCAAAGGGACATAAGTCTGAGAGTTGCTATCAAGAGTTCTCATGCAATTTACTCTTGGCACCTTTGGAAAATGCATTGTTTTACGCTTTTACAGCTACTAAAATAGAACCGTGTGATGTTATGCTTCGCTCAATTCAAAGTGCGATCTATGAAGTTAATTCATGAATCGATATATGTACTTAGTAGTCAATACGGACTGTATTAATTATTTAAATTAATTATACTCTTTATCATAAGGTCTTGGTTGAGTTGAAAAAGCTAATGTCACGAGTGGGATTCGAACCCACGACCACCAACCGAAGGTCTGTCAAATCTTGGGTATTTATTTCAGCTGGCAGATCGTTCAGACAAGATTACAAAAATGGGAACAGATAAACTAAGCTTGTATGAGGCCTTTTGAACATTGTAAGCAAAAGTAATGCACACTTTCTACCTTTATAACTGTTGGGGGTTGGGGACAAGGGGTCAAACCACTCACCATTAGTCGCCCGAAAAACCTGGCCAAGGCAGTGCCCTACTATACTTCAATGTATAATGTTCGGATTGGAAATTTTATTCGCTTTAAACGATAAGCTCATTTATCAGTTGTTGATAAATGTTTATCATTTGAAATCAAAAGATTTACCTTTATATTCAGAAAAAGCTCAATGGTAGTTTTGACATCAGCACCTTCTGCAAGGTACTTCGCAGAATCGATGGGTGCACCAAAAAGCTCTGATGAAGAGAATGGTAGCGGAATTTCCTTTAGAAAGTTGACTATCTGTAAAATAGATCAAATAAAGAAAAAAAATGTTAGATTGTTGTTGTTTTTCGATTGTGGCTGTATTGAAATACCTGTTGATTCTCCAACCCTTGGACCTCGGTTTTGAAACGGCACCTGATGAGTGTCTGTCCGAGGGGCGGGAGGCTGAGTTTATCCGTTGTCGCGAACTTGAGTCGCTTCAGGTCCATTTTCGGCCTCTGCGCCAGGCCGGGCCGGGGATCCGAAGCGTCAGGTTAGATGATGAGGTTACAGAATGGCGATGAGGGCCGAGGGAAGGTTGCGCGACTTACTTCCAGCTTCTACTACACTAAATTTTACATTGCAGCCTTGGATTTTTTGTGCTTGTTTTTTGTGTAAGTGTGCCATTTTTGCGTCACGCAAGAACACGACACGCAAGAATGGAACACTTAGGCAGAAACGAAAACTGAGTGAGTAGAAATACTTTGATTGAATATAAAAGACACATTTTTGCATTGTATAAATTCACTTTTTTTCCAAATCCTACATGTATTTGTTAAATTTAAACAATGTTTGTAAATCCCAGGTGCTGAAGATGATCTCAACAAAGATCGAAACGTTGGCAAGGTTAAGAAAATGTTTTTCTAAAACCTACATCACACCAGACCGCATCTCACGATTTCTGAATAAAAATGGAGAATGTTGGACAGATTTTGCTTTGGAAGGCAAGGGATTTACGATTTATTTATTTATTTATTTTTTTTTTTGCGATTAGCGGGAACACTATTGGTTTTGTGAGTTTAATTCTTGCGTCAACCGACTCAGCAGAGTCTCTTCCATTGAAAACAAGTGCAAATACGTTGAAAACAAATTTCAATTTTTTCCTTCATTTTGAAAACTATATGATTTTTGAGTTTAATTCTTGCGCCAATCGACTCAGCAGGGTAGTTTCCATTGAAAACTAGTGCAAATACGTTGAAAAACAAATTTCAATTTTTTCCTTCATTTTGAAAACTATATGATTTTTGAGTTTAATTCTTGCGCCAATCGACTCAGCAGGGTCGTTTCCATTGAAAACAAGTGCAAATACGTTGAAAAACCAATTTAAACAAACTCCACTCATCCCAATTCACTAGCACAGCTCATTTCCAACATAATCCATCCCAATAATCCCGTCAGACCACGGGACAACAATGGTTACTCACTCCCCTCATGACGTATTGACAATTACAAAATGTATTGTTTTATACAGATGACAATAAATATTTTATTTGAAAAAATGTTCTTTATAGGTTTTAGGTCGGATTATTTACTTGTCGTTGTTGGGCTATTTGCTTTAAGAGGGATGTCAAGTTTAGCGGTTCTGAGTCCATATTTATGTACTTTTATATTTCCATCAGGTTAAAAATCAGCCGTTGTTTATTGTCTTTTTTATTGTGGTTTTGATATTTATGTTTGAAAATCAAATTGCTAAACGTATAATTCTTTTTCGTGGTTGATTATTAGTACAAAGGGCGATAAATATAATAACAATTAAATCAGTTGCATAGGCTGAATTAGAAAGATCAAAGGACAATCAAACTGCGAACAAATATTTTGTTTTAGCCAAGCAGTACAAGTTAAGCGTAACATTAATGAATTTAAACTCATAGCATAATAAATGACTCTCCCTTGTGAATATAATTTAAATAAAAGTAATAATATAATTTAACTAAGGAGTTTTTGTATGCTAAAGGAGACACAACGGACCACGATTTTATAATGATAAATATTATATATACCTATATAGCTGATATTTTTAATCGGTCCGCCAAGTCTTGCTTTTTTTCTCCCTTTGCAGCTTTGTCGAATAAATGCTTGATTTCTCAGCCAATGAATAATGAAGGCATTTGACAGTTTTTTGTCCAATAAGTTGTCTCTAATTTCAAAAAACTTTCACCAAATCAAATTTGAAAGTTGTCAAATTTACAGTAATTTGTAATTGTAAAAGAATATAAATACTAGGTCTGCCTTTTGGAGACCGGGGAGTGAGGTTTCTTCTTGAGAGGATCCATTTCTTTCCGGGTTTTTATAATACGAGTGATCGTCGTCAATAAAAGCAAAAATTACGGTGCTGCTGTTTTATGCTTGTTTTAAGATGAACTGTGTTTTACTATTAGTTTTCTTCCCTTCAATTTTAATAAAAAATTTACCCCCACTTACTCGTCGACCAACCGTCGGGAATGCAGTTTTAAAAATTTGTAATCCTTGTTCCGTTTCCACGGTGTAAACTTTTAAAATAAAGTACATTTTCCGACGTTGTTGTTATTGTTGTTATTGTTGTTAGCTGTTTTCAGCATTTTTAGAATACATAATATTCTGTTTATGTAGAAAGCTACACTACTATAAAATGCAATTTGCCTTCTTTGCCAAAAAGGATACCACAAATTATATGTAGCCTTCTAATTTAATATCGACATTGAATAAACGCTATTTTCCTCGGTTGGTTCGAGAAAAACCGGAATTCATGATTTGAGCCTGACCAGGATTTCCCCCAATTCCTCGCTTAAAAACGAAGGACGCATTCAGCCAAACTGAGCAACCTTACTCTTTTTAGGTCTTGAAATCCTTCGGTATGTGCATAGACACTCTAAATATGGAAAAGATCATGCTGAGGAGGACTCTGGGCTGTGACGATCGGCGCCAACATGGAAGGACTTCGTTTCAAGCTGGAACCTCTTCCCTCAAGGTGGCTCCAGAAAGCGGGATTCGCTAATGGGGATGGGTGCTCGGTTATTCGCCGAGCAACAATAATAGGTGCTCGCCGCTAATTGTCGGTTTCCTCGTCCGTTCCAAAGGGCACGAATATTCGTGAAGTAGCCGAACTCAAAGTATCCACACATTCGCGAATCAACTGTACTGTAGCTATATCAACTATAATTATCAATCAACACTGCTATTTATTACAATTAATTAAGGTTTTTAGTTGAGATAAAAAAGTCAATGGCACGAGCGGGATTCGAACCCACGATCTTCGGCTAGATACGCCGAAAAATGGCAAAAAGGGGGAAAACTCAAAAGGTGGGGTTGAGATGGGAAGTTGATGTCCGAGTGGATCGAGGTCACGATAGATCAAGTGGTAGAGCAGCGGCGTTGTTTCTGTCGGTTAGGGATGGATTGGCCCAACTTAACAGTCTTGGAGTGTACCAAGTTGACTTAATAATTTGAAACGCTTCTCTTCCGAATCACAAAAATCGGAACGATGTTTACAACTCATGGAAAAGGATTGCAGCACAAAACAGTAACCGCAGCTGCAGCAATGACAGTTTCACTGTTGTCCATCACGATTGGTAGTTAAGTTGAGGACGCGAATGCAAATAAGTATTCGATGTTTCCACACAAACCGGTTGGTTGTACGAACCTCTAAAGTGTGCAAACATAGTCACTTAGTCTGCCAAGACGAGCATCTCGAGACTTGGCAAATGTTCGGCAGCAATCGGCATTCGGCGAATACCTAATGTCTGGAGCCACGTTCAGATGAACAAGGTGATAAACTTGCTTTCCCTGGTTCCGTTCAACAGAAACACCGACGAAAAGGCTCAATAATAGCTAACTATATAACTAGGTAAAACAAAATGATATTCCATAGGAATCAAAATTCTCAATAAACGTACATATTAATTCGTCCACATTTATGTATTTCTAATTTATTTACCGATATATTTGCCCGAGTGCCTATCGTCTCTGGGTTAGGCAGGCCAAGATGATCGTTCACGATCAAATTAGGGTGTGTGAGTGTGAGCGCGTCTTTAGACTTAAAAACCGGAATTGTAAATTTAATGTAATATAAATAATTACAAAAAAAATAAATAAGAAATACAAAGAAAATTAATGATGCTTGCAAAAAATATAATCTTCAAAATTATTGGTAATTCCTGCAATCAATCGGAAAACGTTTTTGTTGAGATGCAGGCAAAACAAGATATTTCCTACTCGCATGAAAAACAACTTTAATTTCACAAATGCCACATTAACACAAACAAACATCAACATTAACGACTTATATAATACAATTCAAAAAATAATCAGTAAATAACGGTCACTAAATATTACACACTTCAAAATTATTATAGTTGATTTGTTCGGTAATCTATTAAATTAATTTATTTCTCAAGATTAATGCAAAAAATCAATACTGGTGCAATACAATTTAATAGCAATAATAGAAAAGGTATTTCGACGAGGTTGGCATAAACGGCCAAAGTTGGCCGACTACCAAACAACCCGGCCAAACTTTACAAAAAGCTCGCGTTCACGCAGTTTTCCGTGCAAATAATGCTCTTGAGGGTAGTGCGGAATTAAAGAATATTCTTCTTTTTTTCTTTTCTGCCAATTGCCATTGGCGGTTTGCCAAATACAAGCCTGAGCAATTTTCAGCTTTGAAATTCTTATTTTTTCCAAGTAAAAATATGTATAGGTATTTTTGTTAACTTTCCTTCATCTATAGATATAGCATAGACATTTATAAATGTATGGGCTTATAGATAATCATAAGTTTAGTCATGCTTAGCGTCTATTTTTACAGTAAGGCAAATAAAGATTTTAAATCTTCAAATTAGCGTTTGTTATTCAACATGTCAAGGAAAACCATTCTACCCATGTTATTGCAAAATTCAATGCCAGATTTTATGTTATTTGCGTTATTACGTTCATTGCAATTTATATGAAAATGTTTTAACCTTTAGAAATTTCAAAGAAGAACAAGAAGTAGTAATGTAAGAGAAAAGAATGCTCAATAACTTAAGAAAAACGTAGACACTCATATAAAAATTCTAAGTCGCGACACAGGCAAAATGTCTACAGATTTTCATGATAAAAACGAGAAATGATAAGAAATCAATATTAATTAAAGTCGTAAGCTAAACGTAATGATACCAGACGGGTGCAGAATTTTGAGGCGTTTGGAACTGAACTTTGTGTGTTGAGTACTGACATTTATTTAGTTTTGACATTATTTAGTTTAAAAAATAAACAAGGTAACATAATGTAATTGTACTGTGGCCATTGGACGCAGTGGTCATATCTAATCTACCGTCAGTTGATTCCGAAGCGTCAACTGTAAAGACCTTTGTTGAATAAACTTTGTATTTGAACTGTGCTTTTCTTGTTTACCTTGAGTAATAATTACTTCAAGTGGCAATAATTATATGTGCGTGTGTCATGTTTTGCGGTATATTGCAAACTATGCCTAATAATAAGACTGATGTTGCTCCGAGGGATCTCAACTAGAAGTCGTTGGTGGGATTGGATCGCTACCAGAGTTCCATCCAACTTAAGAAGTCTGGATTATCTAAAGA